TATTCTATTCTATTCTATTCTATTCTATTCTATTCTATTCTATTCTACGCTACTCAATTCTACTCTAGTCTACTCTACTCTAGTCTACTCTACTCTAGTCTACTCTATACTATACTATACTATACTATACTATACTATACTATACTACACTACACTACACTACACTACTCAATTCTACTCTACTCTACCCTATTCTACTCTACTCAACCTAGAACTAAGGAGAAATTTCCTGATATTTAGAACAATATCAATCAATTAGTGGAACAGCTCCCCTCCAGGATTTGTGGGTGCTCCAGCACTGGAGGTTTTAAAGAAGAGATTGGACAACCATTTTTCCAAAATGGGGTTGGACTAGAAGACCTCCAAGGTCTTTTCCAACTCTATTATTCTGTTCTGTTATTCTGTATTAGAAGTAAGCTCCCTCTACATTATGGAGTTAAAAAAAATAGAAATAGAACAAACAGGGTTTTTTTGGTCACTGTTTCAGTAGAGAATCAAAACATTTGCTGTCTTCAATGTTTGATCTGATATACATCTGGTACTTACTGTAATCTTTAATTCTGATTACATCTGCATCAAGAACATGGAGTAGAAATGGTAATGAACTGTCCATGCAGTACATATTAAAGTTCCTCCAAAAAAACTGGGAAGGGGAAGGCATGTAAATAGTGTGAAAATGAATGGAAGGCTACGTCCTCAAGCCTCGGCTCCAAACTTTGATTAAAATTCCTCGCATGCTTCCCATTAACAAAAGTCTTTACATTTTTGTGGCCCTTTCAACTTCTTACGTTTGGCACGTTTTTCTCCCCTTGAAATACTGAGATAAAATGAATCCAGGCAGGCTGTGTTTGTCTTTCAGCTTTTGCTATTTTGTTTTTAAAAAAAGAGGTAGAGTTACTGTGGGAGAGAGAAGTTGAAGTTAAGATGTAGGGCTAAGGATGATAAAAGGGTTAGGACTGAATTATCGACATCACAAAACAAATTCCACCTTTTTGCATTTGTGTCCCGATACTTGACAAGAGTTGCAAAAGTCTTTTAGATTTTTTTTTTATGAGATATTACATTTTTATGTAAAAAAAGAGTCTTTTACATTTTTTTTATGTACACAGAGAGCTTATGCACTGAAGACAAATTCCTTATGTGTCCAATCACACTTGGCCAATAAAGAATTCTGATCTATTCCTATTCTATTCTATTCTATTCTATTCTATTCTATTCTATTCTATTCTATTCTATTCCTATTCCTATTCCTATTCCTATTCCTATTCCTATTTCTATTCTATTCTATTCTCCATCACTCTACTCCACTCCACTCCACTCTGTATTCTATTCTATCTCATAATATCCATTTTGTTATCAACCCTCTTCTTTCCTGCCTATACAGGTAACCCTCAATTTATGGCCACAACTGAGCCCAAAATTTCTGTTGCTAAGTGAGACATTTGTTAAGTAGGTTTACCCCCATTTTACCGCCTTTCTTGCCACAGTTGTTATCAAGCAAATCATTGCAGTTGTTAAGTTAGTCGCACAGTTCTTCGGCGAATTGTTCTGTGAATCCGGCATCCCCATTGGCTTTGATTGTCAGAAGGACACAGTAGGGGATTGCATGACCCTGGGACGTGACCATGGAGATGCTGCAGCAGTCATTAAGTGTGAAAAACAGACAGAAATAACTTTTTTTTTTTTACAGTGCCATGGTAATTACCTGTAGACCAAGGGTCTTCGAACTTGGCAAGTTTAAGACTTGTGGACTTCAACTCCCAGAATTCCTGAGCTAAGATGATTGGAGGAAGAATTCTGGGAGTTGGAAGTCCACAGGTCTTAAAGCTGACAAGTTGGAAGGCGCCTGCTGTAGATTCTTGAATCAGAAATTTCGATCCCAGCCACATGCAAGCAGAATCCTTTGATTAAAAACAGGAACAGTATGTAGTAATATTTTCTTTACAACAGCTAGTGAGAAACAACAGCTAGTGAGAGATTCTGTCAATCCAAAGATGGTAAAATGATCATCTCTCTTTGATTGTAGTTGAGTTGTTTACTCTCTTCTAACTCACCACATTTTTTTTCTACAGTTCTTGAATTTTCTCTGCATCATTATATGTTAGTTCCTGCTTATAGTCGCTTGGTTCTCTGTTAGGCTCTTTTCCAATTGCCTTCAATTTTTCTAAGCATCCATGGATTCTTGCCTTTGCACTTTACGCAATATTTAACATTTAATATTGTGAATATGAATACAAATATCAATAACATTCATGTGTTTATTCTCATCGTGTCTCTTTGTCGTTGTTTATTGTACTATTATTTTCCTGAAAGTTCCATTTACACATCTTTTATTTTTATGCTTTTTTATTATTGCAAGCTACCTAGAGTAGCTCCATGGTGAAATAGGCGGGCAAGTAAATGTTAACAATTAATTACGATTTGGCTTCATTCGTAGTGTTTATAATGAGAAGTCTGGTTGTAATACGATAGTTGTCTTCAAGAAGGGCTGCCATGGAGAAGATGAGATAGATTTAGAGGTGTTTCAGAAGATAGGATAAGAAACAATCCATTTAATCAACATAGAACTGGAAGGGACTTTGGAGGTCTTCTAGCCCAACCCTCTGCCCAAGCAGGTGATCCTATACCATTTCAGACAAATGTTGTCCAGTCTTTGCTTAAAAACCTCCAGTGTTGAAGCACCGACAACTTCTGAAGAAAAGCTGTCTCACCGGTTAATTGTTCTCACTGTTAGGAAGTTTCTCCTTAATTAACAATGAGCTTACATTGAAAGGAAATTGATTTAGGTTATAAACCCAGAAATCGAATGGCCTGAAGCCATTTCCCAACGGGACAGATTGCGTTGGACAGTCATAGGACCATCTGCCAGGATTGTGGTTATACTGGATTGCTTCACTAGGTCGAGGATTGAATGGGATGATCTCCAGGCCTTGCCTTCTATGATATTATGATTTTTAAGATCTCAGAACTTCGTTAGCAGAGATTTTATGGAGCTAAAATGACTCATGATGTGTTGGGACACAGTTCTACCTTTTGTCGATATACCGCTCCCTTATACAAACCAAAGTTAACCCTGATGTAATGAGAAAAATCACCAGTTGCATTCTTTATAGCCCCTGGCGCTGACCTTCCCTGGGCTTGTGAATGATCTGCTGCCTGAATTGATAGGAGTTAGTTTTCTGCCGTGAAAGTTGGCAGCTGAAAAAAACATTATGCAAGAAGCTTCCACGCGAGGAATTTGATCTGAAAATTTACCTTGGCCGCGAATACATTCCACTTAACATGAGGGTATAAGATAGAATCCTCAGTTCAAACAAACATTGCGCTTGTAATTGATTGATCAGTTGAATTGTTCTTTAACTGAGATTCCCGACATTGGTTATGCTGTATGAGTAAGATTAAGCAGTCTCTTGTAGGTAGTGAATTGCTGCAAGTAGGGATATTGGTGATATATCTTGCACCAGCTCAATACCCGTGCTTCGCTACAAAACTATGTGGTTGGGCTTAGTTTTGGTGGAGGAAAATAAGGGGGGCGGGGAATTGTGCCTCTGCCTATCAACATCCACTGGTATTCATCTGGCTAGCATCCTGTCAGTGTGTGAGAGAGTTGAGGGCTGTTTGGAAAGTGAAAGGGTATTTTTTGTGCGGGCAAGAAGGAGACAACAAGGAGCCTGGGCGTGGCTTAGCTCAACTGTTTTGTACTAAAGGTGCTGGGTGCTGTGAAACTAGAACTGAAACTGAAAACTCTCCTCTCCTCTGCCTGTGTTTTGCATTTGGAACAGATTTCTTTTTAGGTGGTGAGGGGGAGTAGAACTCCTCAGCATCAGAGCGTGTTAATATTAATATTTGAAATATTGATGCTGTGATGGTCATTTTGAAAAATCCTTTCTTAGTGAGCACCTAGAAGCCAAGAGGAACATACATGCCCAATTTCAAGTTTGTAGGCTTTACGGTTCTGGAGATTTTGTAATGATATTTTGCTTTTATATATATAGATTCATAGCCCAGAATGCACAATAATTCCCTGCTGGTTGTCAAAACTTTATGCTTGTTAGGAATCATTGTTCTTTTCACAACTCTGAAAAGTTTCGTAAGGAGTTGTTTGTGGCTTCCTCAGCACCTACTGCAGTGATACAGTATAACAAACATTGTAAATGGATGTGTCTTTCTGGTAACTTTGGAGTAAAATGTAACTTTCTAACAAAATTTAGCAATTTAAAGCCAAACAATAAGTTGAATAGAGTAGAGTAGAGTAGAGTAGAATAGAATAGAATAGAATAGAATAGAATAGAATAGAATAGAATAGAATAGAATAGCTTTATTGTCATTGCATTCCATGAGTACAATGAAATTTGAAAGCTAGTCCAGCACAGCCCCAAACACCACATTACAATCACACTACAGAATATTTAAACAACAACAAACAACAACAACAACAACAACAACAATAATAGTAATAATAATAATAAACAAAATGACAAAAATAAAACCAGGTAGTTGAAGTTTTGTTGGGATCACTGTCTTTCTTCAGGGTTAAATTGAGGAAGTAAAAAGTTATTCTAAAAGAAAATGGTAACAATATATTGGGATTCAGTGGTTCTAGAAGGAACAGTTAAAACAAGAGTTTTTAAGAAAAACCAACCAAGGCCTGTCAATTCTCAGAATTTCCACTGAACATTTGATTAAGAGTTGTTGAACTGTGCCAAATTAATTCTTTACACTACCCATTCCTATAGCATTAGTATCAAAGTTGTTCTTACAACACTTACATTGTCCAGGGTGCGTTACATGGTATAAATATAGCGTAATGCGATATCATGCAATATACTAATAGCATGCTTTTCCTTCCAGTTTGGCAACAACTATATGAATATGGCAGAAGCAAATAACGCATTTTTTGCAGCGAATGAGGTAAGAATCTTCTCTTCTCTCCCGTCAAACTCTTCACTCCTCTTTGCTTTACACTGTAATTCTGTTGTTCGCTTTTATAATGTTTGCAGCCTTTCGATAGATGATGGGTGACGTGCTACATTTTCTGTGTTTTATGGAGCACAAAATAAAGTCTTTAATGAGAGAGAAAATAACCTGACACTTTACCATTGCTGGTCAATTTAGTTGTCTGTAAGAGCGTTACTTATGTAGCATGTCGATAAAAACAAATCTGCGCAAAATGTGTATGTGTGTCTTTGTGTGTATCCGTCCGTGTGTGCATGTGCGCATGTGTTTTCATCAGGCACAAAAGATCAGGTGCACAGGTGAGGGGTCCAGTTCAACTGATTTTTGCTAAAACGTCTATGTAAAGGAATCTTCTCACTGAATGGTCATTACCTATTTGGATTTAAATAAGGGTCCACAGAATTCAAGGGAGGATGGATTTAGACTGCTTGTGGCTATGTAAGGATTCTAGGAGGATCCCCTATTTTAGTGTCTCCCACAGGTTCTGCCACTCCTTCTCGTGCAATTTGTTGCATAGACCAGGGGCGGGCTGCTGGGGGTTCGTGGGGGTTTAGGAGAACCCTTAGATAAGATTCTGCACAGTTTGGAGAGACCCCAAATCCAGGGGTGCGATTCTACCAGTTCGCACCTATTCGCTAGAACCGGTTGTTAACATTCTAAGCAGTTTGGAGAAATGGTTGTTAGAAGAAATTCCTGGTCTAATCCTGTAAGGAAGGCAGGAAGGAAACATTCTGGTGTTGCTTTACAGAAACTGCCTCTCCATTAACCCTTATTATATTCTTGGCAGGACTAGACTTCCTGTCTCTGGAACTTCTCTGGAGTTTTTTCCCCTCCTTTGCTGGTACTTTGCTTGTGTGGAGTGACCATTCAAAGTTATAATGGCACTAAAAAAAAAGACTTATGACCCCTTTTCACACTTACGACTGTTGCAGCATCTCCACAGTCATGAGAGGCCTGTTGAGGAGATGCGTGCCTCGATGTGACTGATATTGAGTTGGCCACGCCCAGCCAATAACATGACCACCAAGCCATGTCCACCCAGTCACGTGACCACCAAGCCACGCCCACCACCTAAGCCACGCCCACAGAACCGGTTGTTAAAAAAATTGAATCCTACCCCTACCCAAATCCCACTCCTGGCCGGCCCTGCCTACCCCTCCCCTCTCAAGAGTCCCCACGTGGCCCGTTTTGGATGCAGGTAAGTGCAGGACACACAAAGGTTCTGGGAGGGTAGAAAACAGGCCTCCTGGAAGTTTGGAAAAGCCAGAAATGGGCCTATTTCCGGCTTCCAGAGAGCCTCTGGAGCCCGGGGAGGCCTTTTTCGCCCTCCTGGAAGCTCGAGGAAAGCCTCCGGAGCCCATGGAGGGCAAAAACTGCCCAGGCCATACCCAGCATAGCCACGCCCACCCAGCAACTGGGCAGAGAACCCATTGCTAAAATTTTTGAAGCCCATCCCTGACATAGACAGATAGATCATTATTGTCCCATTTGAGGGAGATAGGGGATTCAGAAATGTGTGTGTGTGTGTGCACGTGCACACCTACAACACACACACAAAGGCAACCAGAAGGAAGCAGATTTAAAGCACAGCAGGCATACATTTTAAAGCAAATTCACTGAGCTCTAATCAACTAATTAGGGCCATAGATACAAACACTTTATTTTATTTTTTTTAATTTAGGTTTTTAGGAAAACATGCGGTGCGTAGCTCCTTTGTAAGATTATTTGATTTCTGGAGATAATAAGGAAGAGGCTCTCCATAGAGACTCGTGGTGGTTTGGTTCAATGGAAGCATTATATCTGGATTGATATAGTCTGACTTGGTCACGTCTTGGAAAGATGGCAGAGGGGCATTTGCCAGTCCAACATTCCTATAGTTTGGTCCGGTCTGTTGGTTCTTCTCCTTGACAATCTTCTAAAGAACATCAGGGTAGCAAAAGTGACTCTGGTTCCAACATGAGCTGGTTTTTTTTGGCCAACATACACGCTTGCCTCCAATTCAGAGAACGGGCGAATCCCGCCTCTGACTGGCCCCGCCAACCCCATCTATTCTCTGCCTCCCATTGAGTCCCAGCTGATCAGCTGGGTCTCCTTGGGTTGCCCTGCACAGGAGAACGGAGCTGGAAAGCAGGTTAGTGGAGTGGGGAGGGAATGGAGACTTTGCAGTATCCTTTGTCTACCACGTCCATCAAGACAGGCCCACCAAGCCACGTCATTCCCACCGAGCCACGCCCACAGAACCAGAATTTTAAAAAATTTGAATCCCACTGTTGCTCCAATTGGATAGAAATGGAAGCCTTGGCATTACCTGCTAAATTTGTCTGGCTTTATTTTTATTTCTCTTGATGGTTCATTGTATTCATAGAGGACTAGAGGTGACAGCAAAGCAGTGTCCAATATCTAAGAAGCTGCCACAAAGAAGAAGGAGTCAAGCTATTCTCCAAAGCACCTGAGGAAACAATGGGTGGAAACTAATCAAGGAGTGAAGCAACCTAGAACTATGGAGAAATACCCTGACAGTGAGAACAATTAACCCGTGGAACAACTCAAGAAGTTGTGAATGCTCCAACACTGCAGATTTTTAAGAAGACAATGATTGTCTGAAATGGTATAAGGTGTCCTGCCTGAACAGGGGGTTGGACTAGATGACCTATCAGGCCTCCTCCAACTCTTGTTATTCTGAGGGAATGAAAATTGCAGCGAACTCCTCCAAGCATCTGAGTTGGACTTAAGAGTGGGCCTGGCAAACAGAAGCGTCTAAGATCAGTAGAAATATGCTCAGCAATCAAGCTTTTCTGCCTCTGAGCCAGAAATATTTTTTTCCCCTATATCCTTGTACGGTAGAGAAAAACAAAAACAAAAACAAAAATTATAGCGGAGAAAAATCGTTGGGAGAGCCGTGATAACTGTGGCTATATGTAATGCGGTATTTTTACGAGCATAGTTTTAAAACAATGCCTCCCTCTCCCTCTCTTCTTTCTTCCCTTCCAACAAGATCGCTTAGATAAGGGAAGATTGCTTGGCACCGGCTTGTTTCAGCGTTGGTTGTGGTAATGAACAAACACCCACCCCCACCCCCCCGAAATCTGTAATGACAACATGATGTTTCATTCTGTAGAATTTCATTCCTCCATTTGAATCAAACATTGATGAAGGCTCTACTGCCAGCAGCTGTTCAGAGACAATTTAATTCCAGCTGTGATAATTCACCGTGTCAGACATTGGCTGTTATATGTTGATACAACAGCTCTCCAAATTTGCATTTTTATCAAAAGGAACAAATGTTTTGAACATTTCGGTGCAGATGGCATTTAAACACACACACCGGGGTTTGTTGTTGTTGTTATTGTTAATGTTAAGGATTGGGGGATTTTTCTCTCTCTTTCTGAAAGTAATCTAAGAGAGAAAAGCATGACAAAAGTGAACAGCTCTTAGAATCACGATGGGCAACACAACCTTCTTAAAAACATCGCATAGTCCTGTCCGGATCCTAAAGAGGGCTTTTCTCCAGAATCAAATTGCACAACATGAAGATACTTTCCAGAATAGGAGCAAGTCAAATCATTTAGAATAAGACTATTTTCAGCACTAGCCCTTCTCTTCACTTAGATTAGGTTCATCTTATCCGCTTAGGTACACATTACTTACAGCAATCATCTCATGAGATAGTTTGGATTCTTCTTCCTTTTCTTTTTTAGTTAACCCCTAGGAATACATCCAGAAAACATGACAAAATACAACCATCGTTGAAAAACGAGCCGCAGAATAAAATAGTTGCGTTGCAGGGAAGCATATAGCTAACCCAACTATTGGAGTTTATTTTTTTTCATAGAATACTCCCATTTTGCAAAGTGAATTCCACTGCCATGCCTGACTTAATTTATACTTACAGATCTATCTTCTATTTATCTATCTATCTATCTATCTATCTATCTATCTATCTATCTATCCATCTATCCATCCCATATTCTGCTAAAGCAGTCATCCACATTTATGGGTAAATTTAGTTACCAAGTCCACAATATTAGGTAACATTTTCAGTCTGTGCTTGTCACATCTTAAAGCTTATATTGCATTTCAGTCTGACACTTGCCTGTTCGTTTGTGCCGTTAGCCCTTACAAAAAACAACCCAGCCTGAGAAATTAAAGTGGCTTGTTTGTTTTTGCTAAAAAAGCGAGCCTCTTTTCATAAAAATTGTCACCCCGTTTTGTTTCCTTTAAAAAAAAAAAACACACACCATCCTGGAGCACCTTAAATATTTATTGAAATAATATTTCAAATGATAATTATGATAGTAATGAAGACAGTCAAATGCCAGATATCAGGAATGAGTGTTTATCCATATTGTTAATGCGATATGTTAGATTTCATTAAGCCGTAATGGGGTAGTAAATGAGTCACAAATTATCACTGCATCTGTTACCAGGCAGCTTTTGTGCCAACCCCAACTGTAAAATGTAGCCACGGGGTTATTTTTATTAGCCCAAATAAAATAGCCAGGCCCGATGCATCTTTCTGTGTTGGTGAACCTCAAGTCTGTAGGTTATGAATCTCTCCTCTTCCTCCTCCCATTTTTTTAAAATATTGAATAAATATCTCCACGGATGCAAAGCAGGAGCTTTCGGGACTGAGATTAAGTTGCAATATTTGTACCCATGTGCTTTGAGTGTGTGCGTGTGTGTTTGTTTGTGAGCCTGCTTGATTTTCTCGAGATGGTTTTATTTCTGTAGACGTCTGTCTGCTGCCTTTTCCTTCCTGACGGGAGAGCAGTAACGAGAGCTGACAGTTTTTCGTAGGAAAGCAAAGGGAGTCCCCTTTTTCTCTTCCTCCCGTTTCAGCTTCCATCTTCTCTCAAGCAGTTATTAATTTATATCATCATTAACGGTTTGAAGGATGACAATTTCTAGTCCCTTAATGAGAAATTTCACCGAACGTATCATTTTTAAATTAACTGGCATTAAGTCGCTCTTTCGGACAATGTAAATAATGCATGAAGCAAAATTGTGGGCCTCCCGTGGAAGCAAAAATTGTAGGCTGAGCAGAAATAAAATGAACCCAACCTATCATCATCATAATCATAATATGTAAGGTAAAGTCTTTTAATTCAAGCTCAGCTCCCGGGAACTAGATGAAGAGGGCCGTGGATTTTTCTGGGCAGCAGTTTTCCTGGGCGCCAAAAGAGCTGGCCATGCAGTTTTTTGGGCGATGCCATCTGTTGTGACCATACACTTTGGCATTTCCCCCAAACAACACAATATCTGGAATTGTTAATATTTTCATTAAAGCTCTGGGTTTGGGCTCAATTGTAGGTTTTGAACTCAATTTTCCTCGGCAACAATTGCTCAAACTCTAAGTGGTTTGCGGTGTAGCAGTTGGAAAACAATCGAAGGGGTTCTGTGATGCAGAAGCCAGAAAAAGAATACAAGTGGTTCTAACAATAGGCAATAGAATAGTTGTGAAGTAGCAATGCTGTTTATGTATAGTGCCAAATGGGACATTTTTCACCCTAATGAAGGCTGCGTAACTCAAATACTGATGGGCTCATTCATAATCAAAAGAATTTACTGGCCATCGTTGGGTAAAAACTCTACTTTGGGCTGAGAAAGGATCCCTTATATTTGTGTGTTTATTTATTGACTTATTAATCAAATATATAGGGCGCCCAGCTCAAAATGAACCTGTACTCAATGTACTAGATAACAGACGAAGGCACTAACCCAGAGATTGATATACCAACATATTAATAAAATTCCTATGTGGACACACTTCCTAACCAAACACTGTTAGGGGAAACAAATCAGGCCTATAAAGGATAGAAGATTTGGGATACCTTGAGCTTGGGGATACTATTCCAGAGGGCAGGAGCTGGAGTAGAGTAGAGTAGAGTAGAGTACAGTAGAGTAGAGTAGAATAGACTAGCATAGACTAGACTAGACTAGACTAGACTAGACTAGACTAGAATAGAATAGAATAGAATAGAATAGAATAGAATAGAATAGAATAGAATAGAATAGAATAGAATAGAATAAAAGAGTTGAAGGTACCTTGGAGGTCTTCTAGTCCAGCCCCTGCTCAAGCAGGAGACCCTATACTATTTCAGACAAGTGACTGTCCAGTCTCTTCTTAAAAACCTACAGTGATGAAGCATCTACAACATCTGAAGGCAAGCTATTCCACTGGTTAATTGGCCTCACTATTAGGAAGTTTCTCCTTAGTTCCAGGTTGTTCCTCTCCTTGATTAGTTTCCACCCATGGCTTCTTGTCCTGCCTTCAGGTGCTGTTTGGAGAATAGCTTGACTCCCTCTTCTTTGTGGCAGGCCCTCAAATATTGGAAGACTGCTATCATGTCACCCCTAGTCCTTCTTTTCATTAAACTAGACACACCCAGTTCCGGCAACCATTCTTTAACAACAAGGTACAGGTAGTCCTTGACTTATGATTGGTCAAAGTTATGACTTACCAGAAGCTCTGACATTTGCGTGCCCAACCCCCGCAGTCACTGCACTTTGGATGCTTGGTATCCCTTAACGGCCGCATCACTTAATGATGGATGTTCCACCAGCTGTAAATTGAGGAGTGTAAATTTGACTGTGTAAATTTACACGTGGATATTGGGCCAGAAGAGATGTATTTTTCCGCCATTTTTTCAGAAGAGACCTTATCATTAACATTCACATACAGGTAGGCTGTCAGGGCTCTGGCATCCACCTCCATTCAAAACATGAATATCTAGCCACATCTCTCAGAGTTTAAAAAAATCATTTATTAGGAGTGAACATGCCGGTGCTACCAGGGAGCAGCCGACTCTGAGACACATCATTCATTTCACCCTTGACCCTGGTCTTCCCCCAGCCCCTGGATGTATATTCTCCAATGGGACACATCCATAGCCAAGAGTCATCAGTCATGCTCTCCAGTAATAATCTTGCGCACCAGAAGTTTCGGCTGCCTAGCAATTATCTATGAAAATATTTAAGGAATGCAGTACTACCCCACTCCCTTTCTGCTGACAACTCTAAAAGACCAGAGAAATATTTTTGAATTGACATTCGGCTCCCCTCACTTCTTGAAGGTGACCTGTACAACACAAAAAGAAAATAAATTTATTGGAGATAGAGAATGTAGGGTTGCGAACCCCCCACCGGTTTGATTTACAACCACAGTTCAGTTCACAGTTTCTGTGGTTAAGCAAGAGAGTGATTCAGTGCACTTTGCCCCATTTTACAATCTTTCTTGCCACGGTTCTTAAGCGAATCACTGCCATTGTTATGTCGGTAAGAAAGTTGCTCAGTGAAACCAGCTTCCCACCTGGCTTGTCTGAAGAAGGTCACCAAATTATTCTGGGACACTAGAACCATCATAAATACATGCCAGTTGCCCAGCGTTTGAATTTTGATCACATGATTGTGGGGATGGTGCAACGGTGGTGTGGGAAACCGGTCGTAAGTCTCTTTTTGAAAGTACCATTGCAACTTCAGTCACTAAACCAATTGATGTAAGTCAAGGACTTCCTATATCTTGTTCCATGTAAACAAAACCAAGACCATTGTAATAAATAAACCTTTCGTCTACTGCAATGATCAATCCCCTTAGTATGATACAACCTGCTATTGTATATCAATGGAATAAGAAGGAATTTGAAATAGGATTCTAAACTTTTCGTGTGTTTGAGCTATAAGAGTTTACTGCCATTACGTATGTGCACTGCCAAAATTGGGAGCATTTAATGGTAGTGTCAGAACAATTTGTAAGCTGCTTGGGCTGTTTTGCTTTTCCTAACATATCGGTAAACTGGCAATTTGTTCTCCAGCTAAAAAAACAACAACCCAGCCCAGGCTAGCTGATGTTCCCTCCAATAACAGAGACAGATGTTGCTAATTAAGTGTGCATTAAAAAACAGTTAATACTGATACATCATTAAAGCCATCTGATAATGAGAGTTCAATCTTTAATCTGATGGATCTGAAGAGCTGGGCAGATGTGAAACATGTTGCACGCTTGTGACTTACCATTAGAAAAAAAGAGCTTGCGAGTCGGATTGTGAGTAGTGTAAAAGAATTCTTTGGTTTTTTTTTTTTTTAAAAGAATGATGTCCCAAAGGTACTTTTTCCAAGAGGTGCTTGGGCTGTCTTTGCTTTTCCTTGAAGACCTTTCCCTTCTCATCCAAGGAGCTTCTTCAGTTCTGAAGAAGTGGAAGCTGAACCTGAAGAAGATTCTTGGATGAGAAGCGAAACGTTTTCAAAGAAAAACAAAGCAAGCCCAGGTGCTTTTTGAAAAAAGCTCCTGGATGACTGAGAATCTCCATAGACATTTTTGTAAAATGATGTTTGTTGTTGTATGATCCTAACAAATGATTTACTTATTTTATTTACTTATTTTTCTTCCAGCAAACATTCCATACGCCAAGCCTTGGCGATGAAGAGTTTGAGATTCCACCAATTACGCCACCCCCTGAACTGGATCCCACGAATTTAGGGATGGCTGACATCCTCCTGCCTTTTCAAGGCCTCAGTGATCAGTTGGGAGCCCAAGGAAATGAATTCACACCTCAGTTTCCACCCCAGAGTTTGGATCTGCCTTCTATTACAGTATCTCGAAACTTGGTGGAACAAGATGGCATCATCCAAAGCAATGGATTACATATGGTAGGAACAGATATATTGTTGTTTTTTTCCCCATTCTTCTGACTATCTAACTATTTTATTGCAATGTGGATGATGTAAAACTAGCATTAAAATTTGCACTGATGATGTTACCTCCTTTTGCAATCAAACTTCTGCAAGAAAAACAACCAAGCTCAGAGAGCACCAAGGACCCTCCACAGTTGTCATCTCCTCCTCCTTCCTCCTCCATTCCACAAACCCCATCTCCTTGTGGGACTGATGATGTCGCCTAGTTTGGTAATGAAACGTTTGCAAGGAAAGCAACCGAGTCAGAGAGCATCAAGGACCCCACAGTTCAGCCCCGAGCTACAAATATTTCCTTCTTGCAGCAATCTTAAGCAAGAAAAACGGTCCACTTAAAACTAACCAGATTTTCTACGGAGTTCCTTTGCCTCTTTACGATTAACCTCATCCCGAATATTAAATTTATATTTCAAAGCCGTGTTGATACATGCCTGTCATTACTTATTAAAAATATGCACTTTATTAAAGTGATAAATATTTATTAATAATAAAATTCCTTTATTTAAATTGTATATTTTATGAATGATCTTTCCTTGGAGCCCCCTTTTTTATTACCGCAATAAAAAAAACATAAAAGAGGCATTTTAACTATGAAATTTCATTTCATGGTCAATTGGGTTTGCTGTATCTGAAAGAACTAACTATGGGGCCATAAAATAATTATGATATTAATCTACATTCGTACAATGGCTGCATGCAGCAGAGCTTCTCAATTTTTTATTGCATCTTTGTTGTCAAGTTGTTAAATTGGTACTGATAGTTAAATCACAGACTTTACAGATTCTACAGATACAGCTTCAATATTGGGTAAGATATATTGAAACTGGAATAATTCTTGAAATCTGCAGGTGACATCTATGAGCAACAGTGTCCATCTGGACATCTCTCTTGCTGAACCGCCTGTCCTAATAAAGATAAATATTGCTTTTTAAAAAATATTTAAAAGGAAGCCTGGTATGTTACAAAGAACAGAGAATTCTGTATTAAGAGAAAAGTTATTGGATTCCCCATATATTCATTGTGACAAAATAAAAACAACGAATGGCTACCAACAGAGTAAAAATGGCAGGCAGGGAGATTAAGAGTAAATAACCCAAGGAGCTATAGAACATTAGGCAACTGATAGTTGCCGTACCCATTGTGTTGCTCACAACATGTTCTCCTCATGTTTAGCTCAGATGTATTTATCCAATTTATCTGCTGTTTATATACTGTTCAACCCAACAGTGCCTGTAGCATATTCCAGAATAAAACAAAAACCTCCAAGAATAATTGTCCAAGAATAGACAACTAATCAAGGAGAGAAGCAACCTAGAACTAAGGAGAAATTTCTTGATAGTTAGAACAATTCATCAGTGGATCAACTTGCCTCCAGAAGTTGTGGATGCTCCAACACTGGAAGTTTTTAAGAAGAGATTGGACAACCGTTTTTCTGAAATGGAATACGGTCTCCTACTTGAGGATTAGAAGTCATCCAAGATCCCTTCCATTCTGTGATCTCAAGCTTCTAGGAGAAGCGTTCTGGTCATCACCAATCTATGCGTGAAAACCAGGCTTTGATGGAATTCTAAAAAAATAACAGCATGGAACCAATCTATTTTCTGGAAAAACATTGTTCTAAAGAAGATTTCAGCTACATAGAAACTTCATCCTTGTGGTCCCTGAAGATGACAAAATGACTGCCAAAGAGCCTACCATCCTGATTTTTTTGAGCAGAGAGGAAGCTACTGGGAAAAGACCATCTCATGCATATCCAGGCCTTAGCCTTGTTGAATTGTTCTCTGAGAACACAACTTTTTATATACCACATGCAATCATGGATGTTTTTGGAAACATCTCCATTCCAGGCAGTTTTATACAGCCACAGATCGTTCCTTTAATTGGATTTATGGATTGACCCTGTTGAGATGTCCAGCAGAGTGTCACCTTGAAGAAATGTCATGAAATTTTCAAGTGTCAACGGCAAAGAAATGAAATGTACTTGGGCAAAAGCTATGATTAATACACCTTGTCTCCAGATTTATTCTGAATACTGCCTGACATGTGCACCTACAAACTTGAATATAAAACTGCCAGAGGCGTGAGTAAAAATAGGTTATGCCAAGGTTCACCAATGTTTCCCTCAGGGCCTTGAGTTGACTAGCTACAAACAGTACTTTTACAGGCTTCTCTTAGATTTGCTGCCAGAAGACAATTGGAATAATAAATAATGCTTTACATTCCATTAGTAAGTTTAGATAGCTGTATTTTAAGCGCAAGTAAGCAGTTTTGTCAAATGCAACGGTCTCCCCAATTATTAAAGATGGCTATTGATAGATTAACATTTTCGTACCTCTTTCAAGAAAAGATTAATAAGACAGCTCAGGATGCATTCTCTTACATTCCCTACCTAGCCTGTCTTTTTTTGTGTGTGTGTATGTGTTTGTAAACAAGAGAGGGATAATTTTTCATATTGCTGATTAGTTTATGATTATGGACAGGAAATAAAGCAGCATTTAATCTTCATTTAAATGCATTCTGTTAGGTTGAGATTTCTTTTCCCTGAAAGAGAGAGAGATATATATAAAAGGCATACAGTATCATTAGTATTGGCATTTTAATAATATGGCAATGCAAAATATCAACATTCTTAAATGAATTACTGGAGGGAAGAATTGGATAAAGTACCATTTGTGTTCAGAAAAGCACCCAGGGCGCATAACATAATATGGGGAAAAATATACATCTAGATGTAAACAGATGGAAACCCGTTAGCAAACACCATCACAAGTCATTACTTACTAAAGCATCACTGACTATGGACGATCACCTGAGAAATTATTTTAATTTGCAAAGGATGCTACAAAACTGTTCCTTGGGCTCTGTGGGGTTCTCTCTTCTTCTTTTTATTATTTTTATTCTCGCCTCCATTCCCCTCACCCACCTTTAAACATCTCTCTATAAGCTGCCCAACCCACTGAGTAGCACTGACATCAGTAGTACATCAATTTCAGAAAGTGGATTATTTTTACCAGACAGCTATTGTGACATATTGGGTCAGTCATAAATGAAAGATATTCATGCAAGCATGCAATACTTGTAATGAAGTCTCACTCTGACCTTCTGTATGATTGATTCTGTAATTTAGTTTTCTCAGGCACTGCCTGAAATGAAATGAAATCATGTTGAACAAGTTTTGAATACCCACAGTGCACCAGGAGAGGGAAAATCTGCAGCCCTAGAGGCTTGGGAGAGAGCAGCTGAACAATTTATCTCCATGCTATTATAGCCTTTGCCAACATTCAAGATTTTCTTCCCTCCCTCTCTCTCCCTCTATCTTTCTCTCTCACTCTCTCTCTCTCTTTTCTTATTTGGCTTAAATACTTAATTCTGCAGGTAGCTGTAAATGGGAAAATAAAATGCTGTTCAGATTTAAAACGACAGCACCGGAGTACATGTAAGGGACTGATAAAATATCTTGAATAGAACTGACCTTTTATGTTGCCGAAAGTTACTGAGGGATTCATCCTAATAATTACCATATAGATTATTTTTTATTTCTTTCCTGCAATGAAACATTTCAGGGAGCAATGGTGCTGATTGAATGAAAATCGAACTTGTTACCATTCTCTCAGCTTAGCCTGTTGTACATAAGAGAAGGTTAGCTTTGATGAATTTTGAAATTCTTTTTTTTTTTTTTTTGCTTCAGATATCTAAGAAACAGGCAGGGAAATAATTGCCTTTTTTTTCAGCCCACATTTTTATTTTCTTCTTTTTTCTTTTATGAAAAATAAATTACCTCTGGTTTTTACAAAAATATATACATCATTCTTGTAATATAGGTGTTGGTGGGTGTAATTTTTTTTTTCCTATGAAAATGTTGAGGTTTTGGAAGATTTTAAAAATACCACAGTGTTTTGGGGGGCGCACTCTTACTTAGATGAAATTAGATGTTGTGAGGAAACTATGGAGAATAATGTGTGCTTTTCTATAACATTTCTATAACATTTATCAAAGAAGAATCAAATCCACCAGGAAGTATTTTTGATCAAGCTAAGACATCTAGAGATAGGAAAACCATTTGCTTGAAATGATATAGGGTCTCCTGAAAAAACAGGGTTAGACTAGAAGACCTCAAAGGCCCCCTCTAATTTTGACATCTAAGCTAATGTAAGCATTAGCTTCATTAATAAAACAATATCCAACATTGTGATATATAACACGCAGGGAGGTTTTATCTTCCTTACCATGATTTACAAATCAGTATTATCCTCTTATTCTTTTAAGAATCGGTGATGGGCTATGTGAAAATTATTAAATAAAAGCATGATTTAGGTCACTGGACATTCTTGTTAACCCATGTAGGTTAAGAAACTGCTGAAGTTCGTTTCAGCTTAATCTTTGTATGTTGGTCTGTTTATTTTAATTTTAACTCTTATGGCACAAAAGAAATGAGCCATTGCAGATGGTTGGTTTTTTTAAAAAAAATATATCAAGAACTTGCGTTTCTCAAAGAAACAAATCAAGATAACTTGAAATTTTATGAAGACAATACTCCAAATCTAAACTTATATCAGTTTCCAAATTCTTCTCCCCCCCCCCCCTTTTTTTTTTTTTACTAAAAAGACAAATTGAGAATGCTCTTTAGGTTATTGCAAATCTGCGTAGGCATGTTTTCAGCTTACTCCCTTTGTCAAATGTATGCTTCCAATTTTGTTGTATATTTGTTTTAATATATAGTTCCTTTTTAATATAAACTTTATGATCTGGATATGGATAAGATGAATGACTGTGGTTGTAATTAGGACAATGTTACATTAGTGTTATTTCATACATTACAACTAAAATGCTTCATTAGTATGTTTAGTGATTGGTAAAAGACGTCTTTGTTATGTCAAACATGTTGTCAATATTGTTGCTATCATATTGTCATTGCTAAGGGAGGAAAATTATGGAACACAATTTTCTAGCCTAAGTGTGCAACATTGACTCAGACCAGTCCAAGATGCTTTCTAAAAAGGAATTGTACAGCCAAGTCAACCTTCATTTACTACTTATGTTTGCCATCTACCTGACATTAAGTATCTTAACATGGATTTCCTCATGTATTTAATAAATTTCCTCTTCTCTAGTATGAAAAAGGGTTGTGAAGAATCTGAGGATGGCTTGCGCTAAACCTTGCTGGCAACCAAATCCAAAATATACTGATAGCAGTATAACAAGCTATTTTCCCCCCAAACAGTGGAAGGGTATAATTGCAGCCTTTTTGCAAACAACTGCAGGAGGAGTTGCTAGAGAGAAAGAAGGATATCTTCCAAAACATTTGAAGTTAATTTCATTGCAAATTTGGAAATCCTACCTACCTGATTCCAACAACTAGCATGTTTCTGGTCTGTAAAATAGTATTGATTTTAAAAAAAAATCTTTTATACAAGCCTTGGTGGTGCAGTGGTCAGAATGCAGTATTGCAAGCAAATTCTGCCCACAGACTAGAGTTCGATCCTGATAGGGCTCAAGGTTGACTTAGCCTTCCATCCTTCTGTGGTCGGTAAAATGAGGACCCAGATTATTGAGGGCAAGATGTTGACTTTGTAAATCTACCAAAGAGTCCTGTAATAGGGTGGTATATAAGTCTAATTCTGATTGTAACCTATGACTATCATTAAGTGTTGTACATTATTCTTGATTCTTAACAAATGTATCTTTTCTTTTATGTATACTGGGAATATTTACACCAAGACAAATTCCTTGTGTGTCCAATTACCCTTGGCCAATAAAGTATTCTATTCTATTCTATTCTATTCTATTCTATTCTATTCTATTCTA